AGAGCCAGCTCTGTTTGGGCCTCAGGTAGCATGAGTTTCTTGTTCCAGCTATTTTGTTAATCATTAACATAAAAAAAATTAAAACCTGTAGTGATGGTTTTTAAATGGGTAATCTATGTTTATTATTTATTATTATTACTACTATTTATCATGATAAACCCACTGCAAATGCAATAGTAAATGTTGTAGTCTGCAGTATTAAGTAAACAGACGAATAGTCTAATATAGTAAGTAAAAATAATGGTAATCTTTTCCAAAAATGTAAATTATGTAAATGACACTGAAGTCTACCTCCCACTTTTAAATATTCCCCATGCTGAGTTTAGGCACTGGACAATTCAACATTAGGGTACATAAACTCTGAACCTTCTCCCTCTTTTACATGACCACTATTAGTCGCCTGACTTGTGGGTGAGCAGTTCTCTGGGAAGCAAATCAAGAGGAAAATTTATGGTAAAGCTAATTTTCTTGTTTATGATCTACTTTCCTAAACCACCTCCTGGATGTTGTGGAGTTGGTGGTGGGAAGGAATAGCACAGGATCACAAGAAGGGAGCAGCCTGCCCAGTCTGGCAGAAGGGAATGTCCAAAATCCACAGATACATGAAGAATATTTGCTTTTATGGGAAAAATATTCCAGCCTTTGATGACTCACTTCTCTTTCCCCCGTTACTCACTGATGGGAAGAAGGTAAACACTGAGAGCATACTGATACCATTGTAGAACTGATGATTCAAAGGGCTCTTCCAAATGCTGAGATATGCAGGAAAAATTACAGTAAATTACAGTTCTCAACACAAATTGAACTGCTGAATAAAGCAGACCCATTATAGTGTGGAGATACCTCATATGGCTGAAATTGCAGTATGAAATACAGCCTGAAATAGTAAAATTACCTGTAGAGACACAGTTTTCATACCAATTAGCTGGTAACAGAACACCAAACACAGGCTGTTAGCTCTTTGATAAATAAAGTATTCAAAAAACAGCTATATGTGTTTTTCAACAACTGCCATTGGAATTCTGTGTATACCTGGTTTGTCTCCAATTAAAATTACTTAGATTAAAAGAAAAAAGGGAAATGAACAGTATTAAAATTTATTAGCTTGCACAATCAGGCCTATATGTTTTGAGATAAAATGTAAAAGAAAAACCATTAAAGTGATAAAGGTAAGTGCTTTAACATATTATCCCAAAGAGCACAAGTCTTAAAACAGGAATTTTGTGTGTGAGCAAAGGAGAAGGTGTGGCTGAAACAAGGATGTCACTTAGTTTACTATAGCAGAAGTAACTTCATATTGTAATTATAAAAAACCCCAAAAAACTTGCTTCAGGGATATCTACATAATTCAGAGCCTGCAACAAAATACAGTATAAATTATAATTTAAAAATCCCTTCTCTTCTCCTTATGCAGTCTTCTTTCCTTATTGCCATTTTAATCTACAAGACATGAAAAAAAAAATGTGGTGAAAAACACCAGAAGCTGGAAAGCGGCCTCCTGCTGCTAGTGTAGGGGCAGCAGCTCCTACTGTGGAGGGCAGTGCTCCCACAAAATCGTGGGTGTTTACTTAAAATAGAAGGTAAACCCTCCACTCTGGCAGCAAATGCTTCTCCTGTGGGAAACTGTAGTTTGTAAAAGTTCGATGCCAAGCAATAGAGCTCACAGAGCAGAGAAAAGCAGGGAACTCCAAATGGTGCCTGGAGCAGACACAGCCCTGAAGGGCATTCCACTGCCTCCTCCCCAGGGAGGACATGCTCAGTGCCAAGTGTTGAACCACACCAGCACACATGACAGCCTGCAAAAGTGTAGACTAGCAAAAAGCAAAGCAAAAGATGTCAAATAGTATTTCCATGATCCATGGAAACGTAACACACATTTGTCCCACAATAGAAAGGTCTGTGGCTTCCCACAGTCTGATTTCTGAGTAACTCCTCACATATTCACATTTCCACTGAACTTTATTCTCTCTGATGGTTGCAGTTCTCCTCAGTTTTCTCTGAAACTGTGCTTTCCTTTAAACAGTTTCTTAGTACCTATGTATAACATATTTTTTTATTCTATCTTCAAAAGCTTTGCAATAGATGAGTAAGAAGGGCAAAGGAAGATTTTTGGATTGTTACTGAAAAAGCCAAAGAGGGCAGCTTTGAGTCACATTCCACCTTCTCCCTCACCTTCCCCACTCCTCCCCTGCCACCATGAAGAAGACTAATGTTTATTTTCCTCAAAATATAACTGGTAGTAGGTTTTGTAGTAAGAAGTCCTGGTTCCTTATGGTCTCAGTCAGAAAGGCACTCAGGCACAGTGCACCAGTATGTGTCATACAGACAGACAGGCCATTTGAAAGCACAAGCAAACATTACTCTCAAACACTGCTCAGTAGTTCCTGAGCAACCAGAAGAAATTGCATGTGAAAATAAGAACATAGAAATGTTGGAAAGAGCTGCTTTCCCAGCTCCTTTGTCTCCTTGTTTATGCCAGCATCAGAGGAAAGCTCCTTCTTATATTCAGATTTTCCCATCCTCGTTGCTGCTATAATATCCTCATTCTGAATGGGGAAACTGAAAACCACTCCAATTATCAGGCTCTGCACATACATCCCTGCATTTCAGCAAGGCAAAGAACACTGTTAAGGGGAGAGCAGCTCCCTTTCCTTTTTACAGAGGGTGCACTTACTGCTGTATGCCCTGTGACTTAAAACATACAAATTTGGACTCCTATTATCCAACCCTACGGCCCTTGCAGATGCCAAATTTGTTTCTTTACTGCTCATCAAGTCTATTATTTAATAAAGAGTAATAGCTTGTTACAATTGAATTATATTTTATATTGTGCATTATGGTTGTCTAACAGACCATGAATGTTCCTGCTGACAGATTCTGTAGTTTATTCACCTGCCATAGTTACAAGGTATGGAAGATCTATGGGAATGGCCTGTGCAAGCATCATGGGCCTTGCTGCCATGACCTGCACAGAATGAAAATTAAAAGCTGACTCTTAGTCATTCTTTAAATATGACTGGCTGGTTTAAATAAATTTCTGAATACCTGAATACTCTGGGGTCAGGCTTACAACCCAGGAAATATGTAATTTCTGACCATTCCTCAAATCTTTTCCTCTTCCATGCCCATCTTCAGGCTCTTAAGTCATCTCATCATTGTTGCTCTAAATGTTTTCATCAAAATGAAGTTTTAGCAAAATGTGCTTTCTCCTCAGAGCCTTTCTCCCCTCTTCCTGCACACCTATGCTGTAGACCCTCACAGTTTGGCCTCAGGTAAAATACTGTAGGCTCACCTAGGCAGAGAAATGGATGTGGCTGTGCTTTTAACAAGTACAAGCCATACACCACACTAATTTTTGCACTCCAAATATTTCTGCATTTTCTCAGACCAAAAACATTTCAGTTGTGAAAACTAAACAAAAAGTTTTGAGTTTGTTCTAACATGGAAAAAAACCTAAACCATTTCAAACCCTTCTCAATAGAATGACCATCCTGCAGCTGCTTTACTTGGGATTACGTTACTTTGGCAAGGTCAGATGGCCACCAATCGGGAGGAACTTCCCTTGGTTCCACTGCACAGATGTTGTAATGAGATGTTGCATGTCTACCAGACCTTCAGCAGTTAGCCCAGCATCCACCTTTCCCTTCATGACTGGTGGGAGTGCTGTTTTAGAGTGCTTTTGACACTGAGAGTGCCTCACCCCTGAGAAGAAGGTTACACCAAAAGCTTAAATAATTCAGTTTTAAATCAGCTTTTAGGTAATAAATAAAGCTGACTTGCTGCAGATAGAATACCAGCTTAACCTAGGCCTGTTCAGTGTTTCAAGGTGCAATGAATCGTGACAAAAGGTAGTGTTTGAAGATGACTCCTTGAAGGCAACAGTGGGAGTGTCTCAAAATCATGCTCTATATATCACCAAGAGCTCAGGGAGCTGTTTAGCTGCAGCTGGCAAGCTGGATTATTACATGCCTCTTTGAAGTTTGTGGGGTAAGTATTTCTCCAAGAAAATGTAATTTCTAATTTGTATTCTTTAAGATGGAAAAAAAATTATATCATGTTTAAGAACCTTAAGGTAAGTATAAGACAGATATGTAAAAAGACAGCATATAGACTAATTTTGCCTTGCCTTCTCATTATATGTTATACTGTTTGACTGCCAAATACATTTCAATATGTAAAATATGTGGCTTGTTCAACACAATATTGAGTAGAAATAGTTCTTTTTCATTTAAAACCTGTCGTCGCATAAAAACTATCCTTTTATAATTCTAATAAATGGCAATAAAGGTATTTATCTTTTCTCAATCTCACTCCTCGACAAAACCCATATATTTTATACACATATTTATATATGTGTAGATATATACATATATATATGCATGATTATGCTAAAAAGCATTAGCAGTGATTAAATGTCTGAAACAGGACCACAGGAAAACCCTAAATTTATTTGCCAGCATCCAAGCAGCTGTCTTACAGCTTGTATTATTGCTATAAACTGCAGAAAAGCAATCTCCAAATTTGTGGCTGGTTGTACTAAGCAACAGTGAGAAGTACACAAAAAGTGTAATGTGTGACTACATTTGATTTAAAGATGGAGAGCAGCCATAGAAGAAATGAAATACTATGTTTGCGTTGCCTCAAACACCATTCAGAGCCCTCTGGATGGCCAAAGAGAAACTCATTCAATGTTATATTTATCATATAGAAGGGTGGATGAAACTTTCTATTTCCTAAAAGGCAAGTACAAGGTACTATCTTGCTGAGAGGATCTTGTTGAAAGAAAACAAACACGTGTTTGTATGTGAATGGATCAGGAGTTACAAAATTTCTAATGATCACAGAATTTGTAGGCTTCACATCATTTACTGGTTCGGCATCACAAAACCAGCAATGAAGTGGCAGTTTCTGGGCTATTGGCAATGCTCTTTAAAACAAGCACTACATATTGTGACCATAAAGTGATATTTCTGTTTGCTTTAGGAAACACTGATTTCACAATGGGCTCCATCAGTGCAGCAAATGCAGAATTTTGTTTTGACGTATTCAAAGAGGTGAAACTTCACCACCCCAATGACAACATCTTTTATTGCCCCTTGAGCATGATTGCAGCCTTGGCCATGGTCTACCTGGGAGCAAGAAATAACACTGAGTATCAGATGGAGAAGGTAAGGTACATAAATGGGTACAAACTCTCTTTGATCCCATTCAAAGAGGCAGCAGAGTATCCATTTATACCTTCCAAACCTGCCTAGCAAAAAAATGGCTTTCCAGACTCTGGAGCTTTTCAGTTATTGCATTTCCCCAATGAAGGGCAAGAACAACCTTTGGTTTTCATTAAGAAAGCAGTTTTGGAGGATGGTTAAGGCAGGTCTCTTGCTTCAGCTTATACTATCTCAGAGACCTGATTCCTTCCAGGTGGAAAAGACAACTTGAAACATACAAAAGATGAAACATTTGGAAAACAAGAGTCATAGTTATAAATACAATGCTGTAACGCTGTAGCTGATTTATGGACAATGCCGTTAACTGGAAAATAAGGGATCTAAGATGAGGATCACAATCACAAATTTTCACGGTGGTGCCTGGTTTAAAGCTCACATGAAATTTCTCAGTTCATCTTTGTGCTAATCAGACTTGCTTAGTGAAAACCTACTTAGCACAAATATCAGTGACTGACAGTGGACTTCACATACCTAATTTCTACTTGCAATTGCAGGTTCTTCACTTTGACAAAATTGCAGGACTTGGAAGTATCCAGACCAAGGTACAGAAGCCTAAGGTACATTGATTTCTCTTTCACATCCTTTTCCTGAAAACAGACTGTTCTGATTGGGCTTTTAGTAGTTTCAACACCTTGCCAAACCTTTGCTCATTCTCTTAATTTAAGAGATGTAAGTTTAAAAAAAAATACAGCAAACCACCAAAACCCAAAGATCAACAGCAACAAAATAAATGCCAAGCAAAAAACCACCAACGAAAACAAACAAACAAACAAAACCTGCCCAAAATGAACAAAAACCCTAAAACAACACCAGAAAAAGAAGACAGGCTGCACATATGCACAGTGACAGGACAGGATAGGGTGCTTTGGGCACCAGGATACACTGTGGTATAAATGAACTTCACACCTGCAAGTGCTGCTGGGCTACAGCCCTTGAAAGGGTCTCAGTACCTGGAGCCAGGGTACAGCAGGCAGGCTTCAAAGTGGGACAGCAGAAAAGAGCCCAGAATCCCTAAAGGATGGAAAGCAACCACACTCTTACAAAGCTACAGGGACTTTTCCAGCCTCCAATTCCCAGTGCAAGCCCAAGAGAACCACGAGGGGTCCCAGTACCTTGACACCTGTATGCTTCTGTCCATGTTAATCTGCTGCCTCTGTAAAGATAACAACAGCCATGGAGCCTGGTGTATCCCCATTTACTTGGTACCCAAAACACAAGGTGGAACTTAAAAAAAGATGAGACCTTTTTTTTTTTTTTAAACCAAAGGCAGTATCTAAAGCTAGGGCATTTAGGGATTCAGTAAGCATTTAGAAAGGAGCTGTTCAACACAATTATTCTGAAAAAATACAGTCCCACCTACTGTTTATCATTGTGCAGTTTTCTTACATGCTTTTAGCCTGTGTCACCATTCCAGCTTCTGCAAAAAAATGCCATGAAAATGCAAGGAGTGCCTGGGATTTAGAGGCTTTGTACCTATGAAAAGTCACCAATTTCAATAATTAACTTCTAGAATGAGTGACATAATAGGCTGTGAATTAATTATACATCCATAGCTGCTTATACTAAACATCCCTCCCAGGGAAATCTTAGACTCTATTACATGTACATTTGCAAATGTTCAAACACTGAGTGTTTTCCCACATTATTTGTACCTTATAAATAATCCTCTTTCTCATAAAATAACTTAACAGCTGTACTTCTCTGTCTTCTTATCAACAACTTAGTGTGGCAAATCTGCGAATATCCACGTACTGTTTAAAGAAATTCTCTCTGATATCACTGCACCAGAAGCCAATTATTCACTGCACATTGCCAACAGACTCTATGCTGAAAAGACAAGTCAGATCCTACCGGTAAGTGATCTCTTGCTAAACCCTGTAAAATTCTGTAATCCGGGAGGACTGGCCAGAGTAGGTGACCAGTTTATCCAACAGTCCCTACTGGTGTGGATTTACATGGCTTTTCCCTTTGCCATGGCCCTGGCAACAGTCTAAATAGAAAGCAATTTGAGGCAAAAATATGGCCCTACTAAAAAAATGAATGGAGTAATAAACAAAATTATTGATAATGTAACTCCTCACTTCCCACTTGCTCCCACAAAGCATTTCATTTTAACTGGTTGTTGGAGTTTTTCTCAAAAAATAATTTGACTTTGGCATATTTCTTCACTTGAAAACTCACCTCAAAACCAAATTTTGAAAGTGTCAAAATCTTTCTTTCATATTTCCAAAGCAAAAGATACAAATACTCTAAATAAAAGGGACTTCTTATCTGTAAAAATAAGGAAAATGTTTTGAAAAAAGAAAGTGAACTTAAAGATGACAAAACCCTCCATAATGAACCTAAAAACAGGGGGTTTGGATCAGGCTTTCTTCCAGAAATTCTTAAATGTTTTTAATATATGCTCTTAACTGGATACATAGTAAAGATGTCAGATCTGAAATTGTCATAAAATTGTCATTGCCACAAAATAATTTTTCTGATCCAGTTTTAGCAAATTCTTTCAGGAAGTAAGCAATGAGAACACCTTAACCAAGACATCACTATAAAAATTTTATTACCCATATTTTATTTCACTTTTGTATTGTTTCTAAAAAATTACTAGTTCACTGGCTACAATTAATTGGCGTCTTTACAGATTTACTTAAAATGTGTGAAGAAGCTGTACAGATCTGGTCTAGAAATGGTCAACTTCAAAACAGCATCAAATCAAGCCAGACAGCGCATTAATTCCTGGGTGAAAAATCAGACAAATGGTAAGTCTGACAAGACAATGAAATATACTTCTCTCTGACAACTGCATTTTAGCAATTTCTGAAAGGACTAAACATTAGAGGAGAAATTTCCTCTTCCTGTCCCCATTAGTGGCTCTTTTCTGTGGAAAGGGATGACTCTATTGCACCTGTGTGGCAGTGACAGTGTGTTTTAAATACATCTGGCAAAGGCAGAGGTGCCATGATATGCAGACTTAATATGCACATTTTATATGCACTCTTTTTGTATCTGGAGAGATTAACTCATGCAAGGTTACTCCCAGCTTCTCTAGAATATTGGCATATTTTTACAAGGATGTGCTGGATAGGTAAGTGGGCTTCCAGGGGAGAAAGTAATACATACTAAACTGATGATGGGAAATGAATTATTCAGAAGCTTGTGTGCATTTATTGTGTTGAGGTGGGAGGAAAAACTTAGAGTGAATTGTGAGAAACAAACATACTGAGAAAATCTGTGTTGGTTCTTCCCTCTCCCTTTCCTTCTTTTCTATATAAATATTTATTTTTTTCCAAGTGCTGATTAGAAATGTTCCTGGGAATCTATAGCACTCTTGAACCTATCTGTCTTCTTGCAGAAATGTCTGGCTAGTTGCCAGTCTTTCAGTATTATTAAATCATCCTCATGAAACTTAATTCAATGCGCAGAGTTTTGGAAAAGTCAAGTGAAGGATCAGTGTATTGATTGACTTCTAAAACTATTGCTATGAAACTTACTACTCTGTGCCCTACTTTTTTCTTAAAGGACAGATCCAGGATTTCCTTGAACCAAGCTCTGTTAATCCTCAGACTGTGCTGGTCCTTGTGAATGCCATTTACTTCAAAGGGAAATGGAAGACCCCGTTTCAAGAAGAACACACTGAGGAAGTGCCCTTCAATGTGACAGAGGTGGGGGGCACAGACACACTTTCTGGCCAGATGTGTATTTGTTGTATTAACAGTTCTGTTGTCATTGGCTGGGTGATTTACCTGGGGCCTCACTGTCAGATTTATGACAGCTGTGTCTGACAGAACAAACCAGCAGATGAGACAAAAATGGAGACACAACTCTTTTTCAAAGGCAGCATGGTTGAAGATTCAGTCCTGTCTTTTCAAAGGCCTTGTACATTTGTCTGACCAAAGAAAAAGTTTGCTCCCACATTGCATCATCTCACATTTTTGTTTTTGCAGCAAGAGAGCAGACCCGTGCAAATGATGCGTCAGAACAGCACCTTCAGAGTGGGAAGAGTGGCTGAAGATAAAATCAAGGTCCTGGAGCTTCCGTACACCAGTGGAGAGCTGAGCCTGTTGGTGCTGCTGCCTGATGACATTTCTGGCCTGGCACAGGTATGGCCCTGGCAGGGTGAGCAGAAGGGCTGTGGCATCAGTGGGGCTTGGCTGCTGTCAGACCTTTTGCTGCCCATTGACATCCCAGCTGCCCACCCCATGGCTGTGCTGGGCAGGCAGGGGAGCACAAAATCTGCCATGTGCTGAGGCAGAGCCTCTTAGGAGAGTCCTGAGCTTGGTTTTATAAAATGATGGTAAAGCAGTGTAGTGCTGCTGCAGCCCAGCAGAAGAAGATGTATATATAGGCAGTGCTATAAAGTTACCCATTTGTATTCAAGAAAGGAGAAAAATCAATGCAGTCTAAAATATATGAACAATTATTCATATTTCAGTAATATTTTAAAATTATGAAATAGAGTTATTACAGATGTGGAAGAGTTTGCATTTGTTAGGTGCTACCAACCGTAGGTAAAGTTTCACGGTCCCGTTTTTGCAGTCTTTCACAAGCTGGCTAATTTGCAAGGCTGTGAAACTGTTGGGTTGTGCCTCATGAGACACAAGATTACTTGGACAAAGGAGGATGCATTAAGTTGGTAAAAATCTGAATAAAAGGAGAGTGACACAGGCTGTACTGGAGAGGCAATTAATAAAACAGCAGAAGGATGCCAACAGGATGAGCTTCAGGAACCATTCTGGTTGGGGTTTTACTTTTATGATAGCCTTGACAGAAATTAATGGTAGGAAGAAGTTGGATTTGCACCTCACATGTTTCATTCCCTGCCTCTCTGTGCAGCTTGAGAACAAAATCAGCTTTGAAAAACTTACCGAGTGGACCAGTTCTGAGGTGATGGAAAAGAAGAGAGTAAAAGTGTACCTCCCACGCATGAAGATTGTGGAGAAATATAACCTCACATCTGTCCTGACATCCTTGGGTATGACTGACCTGTTCAGCCCAGCTGCCAACCTCTCTGGCATCTCTGCAGCAGAGAGCCTGAGGGTGTCTGAGGCTGTCCATGAGTCATACCTGGAAGTCAATGAAGAGGGCACTGAGGAGGGCACTGTCTCAGCAGATGACACAGAAGACATTCTATATTCCTCTGAGTTTGAAGAGTTTAGGGCTGACCACCCATTCCTTTTCTTGGTCAAACACAATCCAAGCAACCTGATCCTCTTCTTTGGTAGATATTGTTATCCCTAAAAAGAAAAGGGCTGGAAATAATGCTTGCCTACCCCTAAGAAACAGACCCTCTTTACTCTAGTATTGTAGTATAATCTCATCTCTTCAATATTTTCTGCAAGTGGAAAGGCTACTCTAAATTGTGCCCTTTCCTGAAGCTTCCATAGCAAAGACACCTCTGCAGGTGAGGAAACAGCTGTGTGTTTGCTCCTTTCCCTTCTCAGACTGGTTTCATTGTGGATTGAGCCAAGCAAAGAGTTAGTCTTCAGAGAATAGAGCCCCTCAAAGACCAGGAAGTGGCCACATGTTTTCACTTGAGGTAGGAATTGCAGATAGGGCTTCAAGTCATTGGTATTCCATTATGTAGAAAGCCATGGGCTATGCTCATCCCATTCCCTGGAACTATCCTGCTAACAAACCCATGCAGATCCCAAAACACTGGCTTTGAAATCTCCAGTCTGGACAAGATGTTTGTGGACAAGATTCTGCAATGCAGGGTATTAATTTGTGCCTATGTAATTTTTTTTTTTTTTACTTATCTGTTGGGAAATGGTGCACATATCCACTATGACCAGAGCTGTCCTCTCACCATGAGTACCTCATGTAATACTGAATTTCTTCCAGAGGCTTTTCAAAGTCATGGAGAGTTTCCCTTCCACTTCAGAATGTTCAAGGAGATCTAATTTTGTCTAGATGCAGTTATGTCTTGTCACAGAGTATAGCTTCAAAGCCTGAAACATGGATACCTGGATGATCCAGGACTCAACTGCCAAGCAAAAGAGTTATCTGAATTCTTGTTTAAAACATTGGAAGTCATTTCAAATTTGAGAACATTTTGATTTTTGTGAAGAATCCTGAAAGCGATGTTAAAGAATCTGATTTCTCCACGGGAGTTTTGTGAAAAAACACAGCTTTTAAAGTAATTCCTGTCTCTGTTGGTCTTGCTTAGCAAATAAACTTCAATTTGTTCCTGGAAATTTCTCAGTTGTTCAAAACTCAAGAGCATTATTATTCCATTAATGTAGGTGGGCTTCTTTGTTCCTATAGTAGTTCAAGACTACTTCTCTTGTTTTCAAGAAATACATGAGAATCCTAATTTTCTCTGTCTTTTTTTCTGATGTGTCCACTAGCATCTCCAAGTATGGTTCCATTGACACAATATTATGACCTGTTTTCATTCTAATCATATATTACTGATTTTGATGCACATAATTGATTGTTTTCTTTCTTAACACAATAAAAGAAAGTCACAAATCTTGGTCATGACATTATCTGAATTTTCTTAATTTTCTGGGTGGCTAACCCTTAAAATATTATTACGTTGGTAACTGTTGTGAGCAAAATGGGATGTAGTACAAAATCCTCCAGTTTTTAAAATTAATAAAGTTATTTAGATATGAAGTTTCCTACCCATTTATGAAATAAATGAATGCACACATCTATAGTTTGATTCCTCTCTGAAATACTGAATACCAAGAAATAGCCCAGTGAAATATTAACTTATTCTTATGTATTCTTTGATACAATTCCAATGGATATTAAAGATACACTATTAATTGGATAAATATTTCAAGGAAAAACTGTTCCAGCAACTCTGTCATTTGAGATTATGAAATTATCCAAAAAATCATATAACTCAAAGAGCATAAGAAAGAATAAGTAGATGGACAACTCTTAGGCAAAGCATTTTCCCCCTGAGAGTTTTGAGAGGAGGTACTCTGTTGCTAATATCATCTATTCCTATAATAAGGGACAGGGAAACCCTGAATGTACATATAGACTGGGCAATAGGTTTCTGGAGAGAAGCCCCAAGGAAAGGGACCTGTGGGATCCTGGTCTATGGGATCCCTAGAGGTCCTGGTCAGCGGCAAGCTGAACACGAGCCAGCAGTGCCCTGGCAGCCAGGAGGGTGATGCCGAATTTTGCCCCAAAAGGCGAGAATAACTGCCTAAGAGACTCAATTTAAGTCAGCATAGACAGGAGGTATTTTATTACAACGCGTCAGAGAAATCACAAAAGGGATTTCTGAGTATCTCGTAACCGAAGTAAGCCTTTTATACAGTTTTGATTATGAAGTTACATCATATCACATGCATAATCATGTTTTTGCATACATATTCATAAGAGGCGTGGTGTGGGCGGAGCGTGGGCGGAGACATCTCTTTTGAGGATCATTTTGGTGGTCGTTCCGGTTGCCTTCATCGTGGGCAGGGGTCACCTGATGAGTCTTCCTCCTTAAACTTTTGAACTCCTATCCTAATATGGCCAATTCCCGGTGTACTTGGCTTGGTCCCATGGCTTGGCAAGGCTATTAGGGTTAGTTTGACTTTGTTGGCTCTGAACATGCTTAGCCCATCAGTTCCCCTATCCCTATCTCTCTTTCTTGTCATTGTGTTCCATGCCTTAACTGATTTATTGCTCTATATGTTTCCTAAGTGCTAAGCTTTCTTCGAATGTTTCACATTCCATGCTTTAACTCATTATTTCTTGAAGGCTATCCGTTTTGGGGTTTCAAGGGCCAGCCCTGTCCTGGGGGCATCAGACACAGCATGGCCAGGCAGGCAAGGGAGGGGATTGTCCTGCTCTGCTCTGAGCTGGGGCAGCCTCACCTGCAGTGCTGGGGACAGTTCTGGGAACTGCAGTATAAAAAAGACAATAAATTATTGGGGAGCATCCAAAGGAGGGCCATGAGGATTGTAAAGGGCCTTGAGGGGAAGAAATAGAAGGAGCAGCTGGGATCTTGGTTTGTTCAGCCTGGAGAAGAAGAGATTGAGGGAGAAATCTCATTGCAGTCTGCAGCTTCCTCAGGTGGGGAAGCAAAGGACCAGGAACTTATCCCCTCTCTGGTGACTCATAACAGGTCCTGAGGGAATATCAGGAATCTGTGTCAGGGTAGGCTTAGCTTAGATACTAGGAAAAGACTTTTAACCCAGAGGGTGTTTGGGCACTGGAACATGCTCCCCAGGGAAGTGGTCATAGTACCAGACTGATAAAATTCAAGAAGTGTTTGGACAATGATATTTGGTACATGCTGTGATTCTTGGGGCTGCTGTATGCAGGGCCAGAAGTTGGACTTCATGATCCTGATCCTTCCAACTCAGGACATTCTATGATTCTACTATTCTATTTCCACATTAACATACAGTGTGGCATGATGAAAGCAGATCTGGAGAGGAAAGAAGGTGGTGCTACTGGTCAGACATCCACATTATTTGAATATCATCAGGATGTTTGTGATCTAGGCTCAGGTTTTCTACAGCTATTTAACCAAGTAAATTTAATTCTTTTTCTTAAGAAATTAAAGCAAGGGTCTAAACTGTTCCAAAATATGCAAAATTTCAACACCTCAAGGCTTGCCATAAGCAGTTTAATCACTTTCTGCATCTCTTGTAGCCAGAAGCACTTGATCCAGTTTGTTAAATTTAAAAGCCTATACACTTAAACAATAGGAAGACTTCAAGAGGGTTACATTTGAAAACTTTCCTTCCTTTGGTAATTAAACTGGAAAGTGCTCAAAGTACAAAGATATGCCTCAGTGACCAATGCTGTTTCCTGAACAGCAATAATGGTCAAAATGAAGGAATGGGAGAAAAGCAAAGAGGCCATGACTCAGACACAAATACAAAGCTTCTCCTTTCCAAAAAGAAAAGACAAGAGGCAGTAAAAAGTGCAAATTCAGAAATACTGTACTAAACCTGTAACTTGCTTTAATATTTGCTTTTAACAATACTAAAATGCTTCCAAAACTTTTAATGAAAAAAGGCAAAAATAAATAAACCTTGAAAACGTCATTGTTGTGACTGGTATTTTCGTCACAGCCTTCCAAATGGGTTTTTTGAAGAACTGAGACTCTTTTTCTCATACAGACTGCTGTGCAGTACCAGAAATAAGGCTTAGCAGGTAAAAAGACAAAATCTGAAACTTTCTGCATCTAATGGTATAAATTGCACTCCTCCAGAAAGCACAAAGAGACATCCAAGGATCTGCCACTGTGAGGCAACATTTCTCTCTATGTAGCATGGAAACAATACCTGTCTGTGAAATGTGCCGTACGGTCCCATTTCAAGTGCCTCACCCACACTGCTGTACTTTCTTTGCACATTAATGTGCAATAATCCTGCTCTCTCCATCTCCCTTGAGATCTTCTTCTAGATATAATATGGAATCAGAGAAGAGCTGAGACTGGAAGTGAGCTCTGCTGATTCTTTATTCCAAGCTCTACCTTTCCATCAGGGTCAGCTACAGCAGGTTACTTGGGATCATGTCCTTCTGGGTTTTGAATATGTCCAAGGATGGAGACTCCACAGCCTCTTTGGAAAACTTGGATTTTCCTCCCTATCCAAATGAAAATGTATTTTCTTATGTTTAAATGTAATTTCTGCTATTTCAGGTCGTGTCCTTTCTCTCTTGTCTGTTCACAGGAGAAAGTCTAGCTGCACCTTCTTTTTACCCTCCCATCAAGAAGGTTATGCACATGGATAAAACCCCCTGCACTTTCTCCTCTCCCGGGAAACAACTCCCATGTCTCCAAGCCTCTCCTCTCATGACAGATACTTTAAGCACTTAATCATCTTCTCTGGTCCTGTTCCCCAGGACATACTCATCTCTTTTGGAATGGAAAGCCCAGAGCCAGAGAGTGCATTCCATCTGTGGTCCGACCAGTGTTGAGTAGAGGGGCAGGAAAGCCTCCCTTTACCTGCTGGCAGTGCTTTTTCTAAGGCACTCCCTTGTGCTGTTGACTTTACTTGCCACAAGGACACATTGCTGTCCCACAGCGTCAGCTCAGTGTCTGCCAGGCCTCCCAGTTCTTTTTTGCAAAGCCAATATGATGGCATGGACCCTTGTGTAATGACATTTCTCCTTTTCTGCAGAGTCTTTTCCCCCAGGAGGCATGTCAGGTGTATTGCCAAGAATCTCAGTAGGCTGCTACTCAGAGGAGAGGAAGGCTTTGTGGAAGGATGTCTGTGTTGAAACAAACCAAAACATTAGTTTATCCTATTTTGTGCAAAAGGAAAATGCTA